TAGTTGAAAATTCAATTAAGAAATGTTACAAGTTTTGATATTAACTCCTCTAACTAAGAAAATTGTAGATACAATTATCTGGACTCATTCAATCGAAATGGTTATTTAGAAAGCACCAAGCAAACCATCATCTCAAGTCTAGCTAACTCCCACCTCCCCTTTTTTTGGCTATATCTTAAGTCCCCACAACATTCTTGTAAATCCTAATGGTGGCAATCGGCTGCTCTTCCTCCACCAACATATAAGCGATCTGCTCCAAGGTAGTGGAACTACAACTGGAGATCCAATTAGCAATGTCAAACATGGCATTGGCACCTTTCACCAAGGATGAGATAATGCAGTTTGAGGTTGTCCCTTATAGAAAGCATAAGGTGCTTTAGCCAATCATACTGTGGCAATTGAATAGGTGCCTTACTTGAAGCAAATTCTAAGTATGAATGAGTTGGTCTTAGAAGCTCAGCTAGATGCATGTACGAATCTGAATCACTTCTTTGATTGCTTACTCTTGCAATATGAGTGGGAGAACCATATTTGTGAGCCAATTGGGTTCATAGTTGTAATTTGTAGGAAAAAGTTGCATCTAACTACCGAGGGTGAGGTGGAGTACAACTTTAGGGTTTTTAGGGTTATTCCTTTGAAAACTCTGTGTATAACAAGGGCATAGAATATGACCATGATTGGACCGTGAACTATTTTCAATCAGGCCTAAGGGATAAAAACTAGGCAACCCTTCTAAGATTAGTAGATGTCTTTCAATATGTCACGTTATGTGCTATAATCAATTAATGTTGCTTCACAACCGATACAAGGCCACTTGATTGATTGAGTGAGTGAACATGCATATATGATCAAATTAATTCAATAACTAACCTTTTGACGTACCTTGAAACCTATGATTAAAAATTCAATTAAGGAATGTTATAAGTTTTGATATTAACCCTTCTTATTAAGAAAACTATAGACACAATGATCCATACTCATTTAATCCAAATGGTTATTTAAGGAGCACAAGCAAACTATTATCTCCAATTTATCCAACTCCAACCTCCTTTTTCTTGGATATATCTTAGTTCCCCACAACCTTTTTGCAAGCAATGATGGTGACAATTGACAATAATTCCTTCTCCAAATTGGAAGCTATCATCTCTAAAGTAGAGGAGCTACCATCAAAAACCTAATCAATGGTGTTAAAGACAAAGCTAGCATCCTTGGCTAAGGATGAGATGATGTAGTTTGAACATGTTCTCCACAGAAAGCATGGTAGTCAAGCACTGATCACTAAGGTGATCCACCTTGAGTACCCATACATGCAAAGAACCCCTTTAATTAAAAGAACTATAAACATAATGATCCACACATAATTAATCTAAATGGTTATTTAGGGAGCACTAGGCAAACCGTCATGTCAAGTTTATCCAACTCTCACCTCCCTTTTTCAGCTACATCTCAATTCCCCAAAACCTTCTTACAGGTCCTAATCACCATAATTGGCAACTCTTCCTCTTTTACCCTAGAAATAATTATCTCCCAGGTTGTCCTCCATAAAGGGTATGGCAATCAAGTGCTGATCTTAGAGGTGATCGACTCGAAGTACCCATACATAAAGGTGTTGAACCTGCTTATCTAATCTTTGGTTGTACCTTTGTTCACAACCTTACAGTGTATTCTGGTAGTCATAATGTGGTTATTGAGCTAGAGGTGACTACTTGAAGCACATTTTGGGTATAAATGGGCTGGTTCTAAAAGCTTAATAAGAGGCATGCACAAATATGATTTGCTTCCTTGATTGCTTACTCCCACAGTTTGAGTGACAGAACCATGTTCGTGAGGCAACTAGGTTCACAGTTGTAATTTGTAGCAAAAAAATGCATCTAACTACCAAGGGTGAGATGTAATACAACCCTTGAGTTTTTGAGGTCATTCCTTTGATCAACTTAGTGTATACCAAAGGTGTAGAATATGACCATGTTCGATGTGATTTTATGCTAAAACTTTAGGTTATAAACAACCAATGGTCTAGTTAGTGATTCGAATGGGATGCTAAGGATGAGATTGGACCATGGACTACTTTTTAGTCAGACTTACTAAAGATTGATACATGTCTTTGAATATGTTAAGCATAGAAGCTATATGTTGTAATCTATTAATGTTGTCTCATAGCCAATACAAGGTCACTTAATTGATTTAGTGAGTGAACGTACATGTATGATCAAATTAATTCATTAACCAAACCTTTTGCCTATGCTTGAACCCATGGTTGAAAATTTAACTAATAAATGTTATAAGTTTTAGTATTAAGCCCTTCAATTAAGAGAATTATAGACACAATGATCCATATTCATTTAATCCAAATCGTTATTTAGGGAGTACCAAGCAAACTGTCATCTCAAGTCTATCCAACTTGAACCTTCCCTTTTTTCAACTGTATCTTAGCTCCCCAGAACCTTCTTATAGGTTATGATAGCAATAATCAACAACTATTCCTCCTCCAACTTACAAGTTATCATCTCTATGTTAGCAGAATTGCCACCCTAGATCCAATCAACGGTGTTGAATAACGCACTAGCATACTTTTCCAAGGATTAAATGATGTAGTTTGAACCTATCCTCGATAGAAGGCATGACAGTCAAGAGTTGATCCTGAAGGTGATCCACCCAGAGTACCCATGCATGTGGGTGCTAAAGGCACTTATGTATTCTGTCTTCGTACTTATGTTCACAACCTTATGATGTGCTCTAACTTAATACACTATGGTGATTGAGCTAGAGGTGTCGTACCTAAAGCAATTCCTAGGTATGAACAAGCCAATTCCGAAGACTCAATTGGATGCATGTGTAAATCTAATTTGCAACCTTGATTGTTTACTTCCACAATCTAAGTGGGAAAACAATGTTCGTGAGATGTCTGGGTTCTTAGTTATAATTTGCAATAGAAAAATGCATCTAACTACCTAGGGTGAGATAAACCACAACCCTTGGCTTTTTGAGGTCATTCCTTTGATTAACTCTGTGTACACTAAAGGTGTAAAATATGACCATGTTTGGGCCAGTCACACTGTGGTGATTGAGCTAGAAGTGATGTATTTAAAGCAAATTTTGGAATGAACTGGCCAATTCCAAAAACTTAGATGCATGCGTGAATCTAATTCGCTTCCTTGTTTGCTTACTCTTGTAATATGATTGAGAAAACTATGTTTGTGAGGCAATTGGGTTCATAATCGTAATTTATAGCAAAAAAATGCATCTAACTACCCAAGTTAAGATGGAGGACAACCATTGAGTTTTTGAGGTTATTCCTTTGATTAACTCTGTGTAAATCAGGGGTATAGAATATGATTGTTTGACGTCATGTCAGGCAGAAGCATTGGGTTGCAAACAACCAATGGTAAACTGGTGATTCGAATAAGACGCCGTTGATGAGATTAGATCGTGGACTATCTTTAGTTAGGCCTATAGGATAAAACTAAGTAACCTTCCATGATTAGTACATGCCTATGAATCTATTAAAAATGGAAGCCATATGCCACAAGTAATTGATGTTGCTTCGCAGCCAATGCAAGGCCACTTGATTGATTGAGTGAGAGTAAATATGCGTGTATAATTAAATTAATTCATTAATGAACCTTTTCACCTATCCTTGAACTCATGGTTGAAAATTCAATTAAGAAATATTATAAGTTTTGATTTTAACCCCTATAATTAAGAAAATTGTAGACACAACGATCCCTACTCATTTAACCCAAATGCTTACTTAAGGAACACCAAGCAAATCATCATCTCAAGTCTATTTAATTCCCACCTTCCCCTTTTCAGTTGCATCTTAGTTTCCCATAACTTATTGCTGGTCCTAATGGCGGTAATCAACGGCTCTTCCTTTTCCAACTTATAAGCGATCATTTCTAAGGTAGCAAAGTTGTCACCGAGAATCCAATGGTAGTGTTAGATAAGGCGTTGCATCCTTTGCCAAGAATGAGATGATACAGTTTGAAGTTGTTCTCCACAAAAGGCATAATGATCAGGCGCTAGTCCAATAGGTGATCCACCTAAAGTACCATACATATAGGTGCTTAAACCACTTATATATTATTTTCCCATATGTTTGTTCATAACTTGATAGTGTATTCTAACTAGTCACATTGTGGCAATTAAGCAAGAGGTGTCGTACCTAAAACAAATTCTATGTATGGACGAGTCGATCCCAGAAGCTCAGCTAGATGTATGCGTGACTCTAATTTGCTTTCTTAATTGCTTACTCCCACAATCTAAATGGGATAACCATGTTCGTGAAGCAACTGAGTTCATAGTCGTAATTTGCAACAAAAAAATGCATCTAACTACTCATGGCGAGATGGAATAAAACCCTTAAGTTTTTTAGGTTATTCCTTTGATTAACGTTGTGTACACCAAGGGCATAGAATATAACCATGTTTGGTGTGACATTATGAAAAAGCTTTAGGGTGCAAATAACTAAAAGTCTGGTTGGCAATCTAAATGAGACATCATTGACAAAATTGGATTGTGGAGTATCTTTAGTTAAGCTTACAAGATAGGAACTAGGCAACCCTTCTAAAATTAGTACATGTCTTTGAATATGTTAGGCATAAAAGTTATGTGCTGTAATAAATTGATGTTACTTCGTAGTCGATTCAAGGTTACTTGATTGATTAAGTGAACATACATATATGATCAAATTAATTCATTAACAAACCCTTTCGCTTACCCTTAAACCCGTGGTTGAAATTTGATTAAGGAATGCTATACGTTTTGATATTAACCACTCAAATTAAGAGAACATAATGATCCATACTCATTTAATCAAAATGGTTATTTAGGGAGCACCAGGCAAGTTGTCATCTCAAGTTTATCCAACTCCCACCTCTCCATTTCTAGCTACATCTCAATTCCCCACAATTTTCTTGTAGGTCTTAATGGCAGCAATCAGTGGTTCTTTCTCCTCCAACCCGTAAGCGATCATTTTCAAGGTAGTAAAGTTGCCTTTAGAGATCTAATGGCGGTGTCAAATAAGGCACTGATGTCTTTCACCAAGGATGAGATGATACGATTCGAAGTTTTCCTTCACAAAAGGCATAACAATCAAGCACTGGTCCAAGAGGTGATCCACCCGAAGTGCCCATACAAACAAGTGTTAAACTTGTTTATTTATTATTTCCCCATACCTTTGTTCATAACTTGATAATGTATTCCAGTCAATCACTATGTAGCAATTAAGTTAGAGGTGCCATACTTGAAGCAAATTTTTGGTATGAATGAATCGATCCCAAAAGCTTAGCTAGATGCATACTTGAATCGGATTTGCATCCTTAATTGGTTACTCCCGCAATTTAAGTAGGAGAATCATGTTGGTGAAGCAATTGTGTTCATAGTCATAATTTACAGTAGAAAAATGCATCTAACTACTTAAGGTGAGATGGAGTGCGACCCTCAAGTTTTTTAAGTCATTCCTTTAGTTAACTCTATGTACACCAAAGGCATAGAATATGGCCATGTTTGGTGTGACGTTATGTAGAAGCTTTGGGCTACAAATAACCAAAGGTCTAGTTAGCAATCCAAATGGGACATTGTTGATGAGATTAGATTGTGGACTATCTTCAGTTAACCCTATAGGTTAAGAACTAAACAACCCTTCTAAAATTGGTACATGTCATTAAATATGTTAGGCGTAGAAGTTATGTGCGGCAATCAATTAATGTTGTGTCACGCCCCAAACCCCAGAGTGAGACAGACGCCTTGCACTCATGAGCGGGGCTCATAAATGCACAAGGCTCGAAACCTACTGAGTTCTTACTTAGCAATTTAGACAATTCAGATCTAAACCTTTTTTTTTATTTACCAAATATTTACCACTCAAGATGTACAAAATTTTTAACTTCATACATACAATCATGACTAAAACTAAGGAAGCTCTGTACACAAAATTTCTAAGTCAAGCATGGGTGACTAACGACCTAGCTACAAAAATCTAAGTCCAAACGTGCTTAGCCGTCTAGCTCGTCACTCCCTTGAGCTCCCCATGTGTCGGGTCTCACTACCTGAAATGGTGGACAAGGAAAAACTATGAGATAACTCAATAAGTAAAATATGGAGTGTCCTTCTTAAACTTATAGCATGCCAACAAGTGCAATTACGAAAAACGGATACAGTATGGGAACAAAATAGACGTCTCCTCTATAGGTCATGGCCAGTGTTTTAAACCTACCACTGGCAGGCTACACTATTTGCTAGTGTATAACCCCCACTAGCAAGGTCACTCGAATGAATCGGTTCTATCAATAATATGTCGACATGTGCTAGCGTTTAACCCCCACTAGCAGGATCATCAATAACATAACCACATCAGAGACAAAACAGGCAGAAGCTAACAGAAAAATCATAATTCACCAATCACTTTCAAATCATCAGGACAATCAATTAAATTTCAAGTAGGCATGCTTAATTTAATGAAAAGCATAAAATTTCATTTCAAATCAATCATACTTACTTTTGTATAAAACAGGGTTACTCCCGCCACCATTTCAAAAACAAATCAAAACATGCTTTTAAAAACTATACAGGCATTACCATAAATTTACTTACCTCAGTCCCATAAAGCAAAAAACTCACTCCAAGAGCTAGGGTGATAGAATAATCAGAAACCTAGCCAAAATATTCCAGAATTAATAACCATATAAAGACTACCTACTTAATCCTTTTCAATATTTCCGGCAATTAACCTCCATAATGCTATATTTATTTTATTTATTTACTTTATTTTATTTTACTTCCTATTCGAAATTTGAGCTCTAAAAATCATATGGTGCATTTATATTTAATTTCCAAATCTCATAGACAAAATGGAGGAACTGGCTTAGACCAAAAATAGCTAATTCACGGGAATTTCAGAGGATTTTTCCTACAATTAACATCACAGCAACCACAATAAGCCAATTCCACATGAATTAACTAAAACACAATTTTAGAGCTGTCGAAATCTTCCATTTTTTCTTGGCAGCATTCGGACAACACAAGCAGCCACACAAGGACCAAATTCAGCAAGGCAACCACCAATTAAATGAAATTTGGACTTAAAGGAGTTGCCACATACCAGAAAACAAGCAAAGAAATTGGAGCTGGCGGTGGGTAGGCTGGCGGGATCTTGGAGAGGAACTAGCATGAAATTGAAAGGAATAAGAGCAATTAGAGTGAACCCAACATACATCAAGGCTTAAGAGGTGATTTCATGGTTGTTTCCTTACCAGCAAAACCGGAAGCACTCTCACCGGTAAGAGCAGCTCGCGGGTAGGGGCAAGGAGAACAGAGCAGATCCGAAAATTCTGCAAAGGAAGGGGGGGGAGGATTTCCAAGCTTAAATCTGGTTCTTGAATCAGAAAAAAAAAGGGCAAAAATCAGCTTCTGTTGTTGCTGAATATCCTTGAGTTCCTGCTTCGAGTCGATTCTTCTTCAAATGGTCCTGCAAAATCCCGAGGTTTGTCCTAGGGGAGAAACTCCGATGCTTAAGTTAGTATTTTTTTGATCTATCTTCCTTCTCTTGTTCCGCCTATTTATCGGGTCTTACCTTGTAGGCTTTGTCCCGCTTGGCAAGGCACCCACGTGGCTCGTCCATACCCACGTGGCCTAGTCAATCCAATAATGGTGACATGGTGTGCCTGACGGAGTAGACGTTTTAGGTGAGTGTAACATGCCTTAACGGAGCAACCGCATTAAATGCGCGTGGTGCGTTCTGGCGGAGCAGGTTCCTTGAGAAGGGGTGTTCTGGTACAGACAAATGATCAGATGAGGGTGTGCCTATTGTGGCTGTCATACACCCACGGCGAAGTGCCGAGGTGCGGTTAGCTCTGAGCTCTGCAGCAGAGGTGTGGTTAGCTCTGAGCTTTGCACCTTGTCTTGTCTCATGTGGCTGCCCTTACAGCTTCCTTACTGGTTTTTCCAAGTGGCGTGTTGTCGAGTTTGGGCTGGAGGCTGGTTCGGTGCAGGGGAGAAAGAAATGAGCAGAAACACGCGGCTGAGGAAGAAAAAGAAAGAAAGAAAAATCCGCCCATCCTTATCCTAATTCTTTCTCTTTTTAAGCCCCTCAAGTTTGAGAATTTGATGATTAAGTTCAACAATATTATTTTCTCACAATTAGGTCCCTAGCTCACACTTATTTGTTCTTGAAATTTTGGGGCATTACATCTTGCTTCATAGCCAATACAAGGCCACTTGATTGATTGAGTAAATATGCATATATGATCCAATTAATTCATTAACTAACCTTTCACCTACCATTAATGTAACACCCCACATACCTTAGTGAATAATTTAAAAATTAGTGTCCTTTAGTTTATAGTTTTAGGGACTAAATTGATTGAATTTAAAGTTTGGGGGTTTTAAGTAGAATTAAGTAGAAGTTGAATGATCATAACTCAATTATCCCAATTTTACTTACTACATGGCATTTTCCCAACGAAGTTTTTTTGTCTTGTCGGTGGAAGCTTGGATAAGCCTCTAGAAGCCTCCCAAAAGCCTCATTTTGCTTTCTCATGCCTTCCTCTTCCACCCACATCATTTTCTTTCTCCTTTCTCCACCAAGGTTAAGGTGCTTTTGTTAAGTAAGTATAAGTTTTAGTTATGAATTTTGGGTTAGAGTCTTGGGTAGTTTAAAATAGTGAGATTTGATTTTAATCCTTTGATTTATAAGATTTTTGGGTATTAAACTTTTATTAGAAATATCTTTAATATTGGGGTTTATATGGCAAAGATAGTGAGTTAGTCCTTTCTATTGTTTAATTTGGATGTGATGTTGCTGTAGGAATTAGAAGGAAATTACGAAATACTGTTCATGATTACTGTTCAAAATTACTGTTCAAAATTACTGTTCATGATTACTGTTCATGATCACCGTTCACGCATTATGCTTTGATCTCTTTCAATAGGAAATCCTAATATTATTTATGAATTTGTTTGACATGTGTATGTGTTTGTGGCTATGGAGTAAGTGGACCTAAGCTTAAAGCTTGGGGTATTCAGTGGACCCTTCGGGGTATTTAGTGGACCTCTGCGCAGTAGGGTTAGTACCGTGATTAGCTCCGGTACAGTGTTGCTAGCACACCTCAGTGGACTCCATAGCATTGTGTGATTTTCGATTTTTATGCATTGCGCATGTGACATCGTATTTGTGAGCATATGACTTTAGTATATGAATTCAGTATAAATGTCATTGATTATTACTTGACATTGTGCTTATGATTTGATTCCGTAGTGTCTTATGCTCTTTGTGTGGATAGGTTTAAGGGTCTTAGGACCCAAGTTTATAGCTTAAACTTATTACTTACTGGGCTATGAGCTCATAAAATTCCCCCCACATTTCAGATCAGTAGATCGAGGTAGCAGCCTCTTGGTTTAGGAGCTTTTGGCACGGGACTCGCATGCTCGTTGTATGTACCAGCTAGGGCCTCGTGTTTTCGATAGGGAGGCAGATCGATGTGTTACCAAAACCATGACTTAGCTTTTGTTTTTTTGAAAAGCTTTGAAAAAGAATTTGCCTCGTATAATTTTTGTGTAAATTACCTTTATGTATAAAATCTTTAAATTAATTATAAATGAGCTTAACTCAGTTTATCTTATAACTTTGAATATTATGGCATTTTTTAATATATATATATATGATATTCTTTTTATTAAATTGATTTTCTGAATGTAAGTTTTCTTCTGAAGAAATATTTTATATCATAAGTGTTTTTACTTCCGCTGCAATTCTTTACTATAAATTTTGTTTCCGAACTCTTCTAGGACTAAGAGTGCCTAGGGAGGTGTGTTACAATTAAACCCATGAAATTTTGTTTCCGCAACTTTCTTCATGCTTGAGTCCTAGAAGAGTTCTAGGTGTGTTTTTACTTCCGCCGCAATTCTTTACTATAAATTTTGTTTCATTATGGCATTTTGCTTTCTTCATCTCAGTTCGCCACAATTTTCTTTACTTTCTTCATGCATAATTACTATAAATTTTGTTTCCGCATTTAACTACTGAAAGCAACATGGAGTACAACCCTTGAGTTTTGAGGTCATTCCTTTGATTAACTCTGTGGACACCAAGGGTATCGAATATGACCATGTTTGGTGTGATGTTATGTGGAAGCTTTGGGCTGCAAACAACCAAAGGTCTAGTTGGTAATCCAAATGGGACATCATCAATGAGATTAAATTGTGGACTATCTTTAGTTTAGCCTACAGGATAAAAACTAAGTAACCATTTTGAAATTAGTACATGTCTTTCAATATGTTAGGCATAGAAGTTATGTGCCACAATCCATTGCGTTACTTCGTAGTTGATACAAGGCCACTTGATTGATTAAGTGAACATGCATATATGATCAAATTAATTCATTAACCAACCCTTTCGCCTACCCTTAAACTTGTGGTTGAAAATTCAATTAAGGAATGTTATAAGTTTTGATATTAACCTCTCCAATTAAGAGAACTGTAGATATAATGATTAAATTTAAATGGTTATTTGGGGAGCACCAGGCAAACCATCATCTCAAGTTTGTCCAATTCCCACCTCCCCATTTTTGGCTACATCTCAATTCCCCACAACCATCTTGCAGGTCCTACTGGTAGTAATCGGCAATTCTTCTTTCTCTAACCTATAAACGATTATCTCCAAGGTAGCGAAGCTACCACCGGAGATCCAATTGGCAGTGTTGAAGAAGGTGCTGGCATTCATCGCTAAGGATGAAATGAAATAGTGTGAACCTATCCTCCACAAAAGGCATGGTGATTAGGTATTGACCCTGAAAAAGATCCACCCGAAGTACCCATACATGTAGGTGCTAAAGCCAGTTATTTATTAGCTATCAAGCTAGTAACACAATGGCTGTCAAGTTGGAGAAGTCATACCTAAAGCAAATTTTAAGTATGAAGGAGCTGATCCTTGAAGCTCAACTGGATACATGCACAAATTTGATTTGCTTCCTCGATTACTTACTCCTATAATTTGAGTGAAAGAATTATGCCCGTCTCTTGCAATTTGAGTGAGAGAATTATGTTCGTCTCCTGCAATCTAAGTAAGAGAATTATGTTCGTAAGGCAACTAGGTTTATAGTCATAGTTTGTAACAAAAAATGCATGTAACTACCTAGAGTGAGGTGGAGTATAACCCTTAGGTTTTTAAGGTCAATCATTTAATCAACTTTGTGTACACCAATGGCGTAGAATATGGCCATGTTCAACTTGATGTTATGCAAAAGCTTTGGACTACAAAAAACCAATGGTATAGCTAGTCATCCAAATGGGACATCATTCACAATATTGGATCATAGACTATTTTCTGTGTGACCTATGGGATAAGAACTAAGTAAATCTTTTAAGATTGGTACTTGTCTTTAAATCTGTTAACCGTAAAAGTTGTGTCATAATCAATTAACTTTGCTACATATCCAATACAAGGCCACTTGATTGATTGATTGAGTAAACATAGATGTATGATCAAATTAATTCATTAACCAATCTTTTCACCTACCCTTAAACCCGTGGTTGAATATTCAAATAAGGTATGTTATAAGTTTTGTTATTAACCTCTCTATTTAAGAGAATTGTGGACACAATGATCTATACTCATTTAATCCAAATGGCTATTTAGGGAGCATCAAGCAAACCTTCATCTTAAGTCTATCCAACTCCCACCTCCCCTTTTTCAACTACATCTTAGTTCCCCGAAACCTTCTTGTAGGTCTTGATGGCGGCAATTAGTAGTTCTTCCTCTTTCAACCTACAAGCAATCATCTATGATGGTAGCTCCACTACCTTGGATTATTTTCTCTTTTCTTTTTTTTTTACCTCCAAAAAGTTCTATTATATCTACTACTGAATTTTTTGTTAAGATTTTATGTATGTATTTGAACAACCCCATTCTGACTATACTATATCCTTTGTTGTTATTTATGAAAATTTAAGGTTTGCAATTATGCATGGTATTTAGGATGTTACATCCTTTCCAGCCAAAGGAACAATTAGTAGTGCCTCACGATTTTCACTTGAATTTTGTGAAGTACTACTTACCATTGGTGTTGTTTCAACAAAAGAAGTGAAAGTGACATGGAAAGGAACTCCTAAGTATGCTAACTTATTTTATTAAACGATTCAGTAAGCTAAAATAAGAGTAGCACCATAATATATAGTTAGGAAATGGATTGGCTATTTATCATATTTATTATTCTTGGGTGAGAAAAATTTGTGCTCTTGATTGGCTATATCTACATATGCCTAACATTTTTAATTTAAGTGTAGGCCATTTAAATAAATACATATTATTATTTTTAATTTTTTTAAGAACAAATGTTTGTACGAATTAGTGACCTATGTATTGTTCTTCAATTGAGTTTAAGTGTAGGAATGTAGAGTACCAGTCAGGTGTTTCGTTATGGTAAGTGATTCATTTGTATTCATTTTCAGGTGACAAGGAGCCAAATTTTGCCCTGCTTAGAGATAAGCAAATAGTAAGGTTAAGTACTTATGTTTTGTATTGTAAATTTGTGTGGTAGGTGGTAGGAGTCAATCAGGTTGGAAGTGGAAGTGTCCACAAAGAAAAGGGTGTGCTTTGCTCCATGTGCCAAGGCTTTTTTTGTTCACTTACATTGGTTTAAATATTTGAAAGACCCCGTTGGTATGAAAGCTAGTAATCTTTTATTTCTTAACTTTTGCCTCCTTTAAGTTAAATCTTATGTGTGTTGTGGAATTTGAAGCTAGTTAAAAAAAGTAGTAGTTTGCCATAGAATTAAAGAGGAACTGTGTGTGACTGAAGGTGTAAAATGGATATGGGCAAAAATATGCTCTTTAACTACAACTATGTGAAATAAGACATAAGTGGAATATTAGGAGAGTCATGAGGGACATAAAATAGTTGTTTATAACATGTGACTGTGGCCATTAATTTTGGTTGAGGAGAGGAGCATATTTTGGAGCTAAAAACGAACTCTAAATTCTACTATATTAGTGGTGCTATAAGAAATATAGGGAAAAAATATATTCAAATTCTATTTAAAATATATAACAAGTATGTGAATACAAAAGAAACCAAAATATTTAGGTAGAAAATAAGGTAAAAAGTATAAGTTAATATTACAACAGTTGAGTAAATAGATAAATGAGTAAATTAGAGTTGCTTATTATATTGTTTTGCAATGGAATGGAATTGACTATAAATTATATAGATTTACTTTTGAATTGAATGGGCACTCCTTTTTTTTTTTTTTTTGTTAGGGAAGTACACAAGGGTCGACTATATTGGAATGTATTAAATCATTAGATGTGAAATGAAATACGACTATCAGGACTCCAAATAATACATAAGTGAAGTAATAAGTAGAAGGGATATACGAATAGTAGTTTAAGTGTTAAATTATGGAGGCTTGTATTTAAATCC